AAAAGAATAGTCATCGAGATTTGGATAAAAAAAACATATTCCCTGGTTCGAATACTATTAATTTATAGGTACGTATGATTTGAATTCCGGTAACATGTTGCATCATTTTTACACCGAATCGAAACGGAAATCCTTTCACTGCCTTTAAAAAAAAAAAAAACGGGGAACAATAAAATAAAAAATTCGACGCGAGTTGTCGAATTGTCGCGGACAAGAAAAAAAGAGAGGGGGCGCCTTCTCCATCGTCCGAGCCGTGTTTAATTCGACACGAACACAATTCGAAGCGAGCACGAAGTGAAACGCGAAGCGGTCAGAGATCGTACCCCGTGTAACATATTTGTATCTACTACTAGCCGTTCAGCTTTGTGCCGTCTCCATAGATTACAGAAATAAAGAAAAGAAAAAAAAGCATATATAGTTATAGAGGTTATATATATATAGCTGAGAGGAGAATAGTTAAAAAACGAGGATGGATGCGGTAGAAATGTGATGTGAGCGGATATATAATAATAACGAGAGTTAGTTTTTTTTTTTTTTCTTTTCAACTATCGAATTAGAGCACGAGATCCATATCACGAGAGAGTAAATCACACGATCGACGAGAAAGCGGATTTGTACTACGAAAGAGCGAGATAGACGCACGTTTGATGCGAAGATCGAATAATTAGTTAGGATTATGTCGAATCGATGCGTCTTTCGATTACCGATATCGCGATTAAACGTAGCGAAAAGAATTCCATCGTTCGTTTCTTAATTTATGCTTGCTGTGCAACGTAATAATCTCTCCTAATTTACGCGTTTCCTTGCGTGTTCGATGTTAAAAGTCGATCCTCTGACTAACGTTTCAAAAGAGCTACGATAAGAATATTCGTTTCGGCATAATTCTGACGAGGAGAAGAGAAGTGTGAATCCATTATTTCTCGTAGCCAGACTGATCCTTTCGGCTCTAATCTTAGCTACTTTCTCACTCGGCTACGCTACTGTAAAATGAGATGCGCCGATGGTTCACGAGACGATATCGATTGTCAGGAAACGAGAATGAGAGAGAGAGAGAAAGAGAGAGAGAGAGTGAGGATCGAAGAATCGAAGAGAGCGAGGGATTGAAAATTGGCAGAGAATGAGGAGAGCGCGTGGAACAAAGGATGTGAGAGAATGTGGTGAATGTCGGAGAAGAGTGTGGGGGCGTGAGTGGATATGCATTCGCAGTCCTTTGCGGCTGATCGCCGCGATTAGGCTAAGCGAGTAGGTAAGAAGTTCCGATTAGTTGGATTCGGACACACGGAAGCTAGCTAAAACTGCCATGACGGAAGAATGATGTAGAGAAATGGACGTATAAGTGAAATTTATAGCGAAAAAAAAAAAAATCCACCACTGCCTTGACATGCCGCTTTCTTCCCCAAAATTTGGGCATTTTTTTTTTTTTTTCGATTGAATTTTTCCTTTGAATCAAATCTTTAAATTGGACGAACTAGTCGTGAGAAGAGATTTATTTCAATAATAAGTATGATTCTTAAAATGAGATAAGGTCGAAAGATTCAATTAGTAGAATTTTATAATTTTATTATTATTAATTAAGAAAATTTTTCTACGAATTTTAAGAAAGAAGATTCTATTATAATCGACGTGAAATACCTTATTTTTTTTCTTTTAGTAAGTACGTTTAATTACGCCCCATTGTTCGAAAATGTGTCAGGGAAGTGGTTTAGTTACATGTATAAAAGGGGGGTCATTTTGAGTCCGTGCTTTAAACAAAAGAGTGATTCGAAACCTTTTCTTGGCTCCTTCTCTCGAGGAAAAGAGCTGGATTAACGCGTTAATTGCGTTCTTTGTCGTTTTATCAATTCGATAAGCGAGAAATTTTAGCGCAGGAATCGATGAAAAGAAAATGAATAATGTTTGAATCGAGAAATCTTCGCTCTCTAATTAAATTTCGCATTGCGAGGAATATTTTCAGTGAAAATTCCCGAAATATTCGAATTCGCGGCAAATCTTTCATCCGCTCTTTCTCTTTTGCTAATCTTTGCTAATATCGTCATCGATATCGTACGTATTTTAAGTCTTCACAAGCTATAATTCGAAAAATAATTTCTCGATTCGTTATCACTTTGGCGATCGTGGCTTCCAACAACGTTATTTCCTCTTTATCTTCGACGATCGCGTGGCCAGCATACAATTCGAGAGCAAACAATCGCGAGGACATTTACCACGTGTTATACCGGAGGAAATAAAGGGTTATTAACGCACCAGAGCCCCTTTTATGCGTACGTTTCGAAGCGATATCATCTGAAACATGAACGCTCGCCATAAATATTATTCAACTTGGAATAAACCAAGTGGAGTGGATGATACTTGGCTGGCCAGCGAAATACGCGATCACGTAGTCATTTCTTTTGAATTTTGAATTTTTAAATTTTTAAGCCATTTTAACCATTCTTTTTGCTGTAATCGAGCCTATGTGGAATATATCGATTTTTTTTTTTTGTTAAAATCGTATTGCCGTGTCGAATCCGAGTTTCGAGAATTTTTCCAACGAATCTATTCGAATGTGAATCTTCGATTTTAAATTTAGATCAATTTTCTCGCGTATTCCGCGCTTGCTTTCTACTCGCTATGCGATTGCTTTGATTCCGAGTACACGTATCTGGGATCGAATTAGGCGAATGTACGTAGATATTATATATCATATTGAAAATTTAATAATTTTTCGTGTAATGACTTCGATCATGATTTTCGATAATGTTTCACTGTACCGAATCGAATAAATTCTATCGTAGAATTAATAATGTTCGAAACGCGCCAAGAAATAATGAAAATGGGCATTTGAACGTTTGCGAAATTGGCGCGTTGTTCATTCGCCTGACGACACCCAGATAAATTCGTAGAAAAGACTGTGTACGTCTGTAATAAAATAATCGATATTAGTGAAATTTCTTAATTATC